TTAAGTGTAGATAAGCCACAGTTCAACATCTTTTTTTTGAAAATCTTGCAACAGGGAGATATTTGGAAATAATTTAAAAAAAATAAAACTTGAAAACAATAGCTCTCAGAAGAGTACACAACTGTCACTAGAGTGGTACCCTTTCAAAAGCAACTAATACGCACTTTTAACGTACTAAAATTGGCTTTAAGGTACTAATATGCACCATTTGGAGGTACAAAGGTACAAAGATGCATTTTATCATTTATACTTTATGGGTAGTGACAACTTTGTAAGTCTACTTTTTTCTGAGAGTGTAGGATCCATTGTTTAAGATTGTTTCCCCCCTTATGTACTATTGTTTGTACAATGCTCAATTCTCACAATAATAATAATAATAATAAATTAAAAATAGATAAATGGAAAAAATTGTGAACCCTTTGTGAAAGTTTTGACCTACTTTATTAATGTAGACCACGCGCATATTTTTATTCTGTAATTGTTTATAAACGCATAAACCAAAAAAGAAAAATAGAGAGCTATTTGGAGTCGTCAGTTTATGATTTCAACACGAGTTACGCAGATTACTTTACATGACCAGTGGGACGGATGTTTATTTGACATTTGTCAAATGGTCGTTGTTTTACCCTTTTAGAAATCATTCTGCTTTATTACATAAAAATCCAACCCGATCTCATGAAAGTGCATATCAATAGCACGAGTTTATGTTTCGATTTGGCATACTGTTTATACGCAGAAATTGACTTTGGCGTGCATATGATTGATACGCAATGGGTAGGATTAGGGTTGTGGGGTAGATGCGTATCATATGTACTCGAAAACTGCGTATCATATGCAAGCCAACAAACTGCGTATCACATGCACGCAAAAACAGCATATTATATGCACGCCAAACACGTTTTCTGTTTTTATTTGACGTACTATTTATACGCATTTTCATGAGACCGGACTCAAAAAGTTTTTACATTTGAAAAACACAGTTTAGTATGTTACGCAATTTGTTGGCGTGTATATGATACGCAGTTTTCGCGTACATGTGATACGCATCTACCCCACAACCCTAATCCTACCTATTGAGTATCATATGCACGCCAAAGTTCATTTCTGAGTGTAAATAGTACGCCAAATCGAAACATGAAGTCTTGCTATTGATACGCACTTTCATGAGATCGGGTAGAAAAGTTATATAATTTTGGCCAGCTGAATAAGTTTTGTGTTCAAACTAATCAACACACCTAAAATAATCAATCAAGGTCTTCGGGCACATTTGAAAATATGAACTTAAAATGAAATAACCAGCAGGTGCCGTTTTGAAGATCTCCGGAATACTCCGCTATGTCTCACATTGCGCTGTTGAACGGGAAACAGATATAGGTGATATCGAGATATCAGCACTGTTTCAGTCCAAGTTAATTTTGGCATATTAATGCTGCTCGTGTTTCAGCGCTGATAAGTAGGCCTACTAAGTGAAAAGCTCATTTTCAGATTGGATTAACGTCATTTGAACAGAATTCATGACATATGTTTTGCAGGATTACATGATTATATGTGCAGGTGACTGATATAAATAAACGCGACCTCACTAACAAGTAGTGCCATCGCAGCATTAACGTATCAACTGCTAACAGATCATGGTTGAGTGGACTGACGCTGAGCTGTGTGGGGGAAAATGAATGTGGATATGACTGGGCCCCAGGCTTTGGCAAGGTGAGTGAGTGTGTCCAATCTGTTAATCTGAATGCAATTTGTTGACTTATTTTACATTTGCACGTGTTCCTCCACAGATCTCTCATCGTGTACCCTTGGACTCAACGCTATTTTGGCTCCTTTGGGTCCTTGAGTGACGCCGCAACCATTATGGCCAACAAAAAAGTGGCTAGGTTAAATAATAACTCGCATGGCCTTTTCACAAAAAAAAATCACAAACCACTGTCTAACTGTGCGTTTGGAATTGCATGCTACAGGCAGTATGTAGTAGGCTATACACTCTGTAGTATGCATAATGCTTATACCTACTCAGTCATGCATCTCAGTACATTCAATCCCTTTAAAAAACAATTATTATTATTAAATGCATAAGGTTCTTTTAAGCACCTTTAACCTCACACCTGCACAAAAACTTCTTAGTGGAAAAGATTCTTTAGATTAATACTATGTTGACTCTACGAAAAAAAACAGCTCCTTTATAAACTGTTCACAGAAAGGTTATTTTTGGAAACCCAAAGTGGTTCATATTGCATCCTTGTAGAACGTATATATTTTTTAGAGTGTATATGTGAAATTTTGATCACCTTATAATTTTCTCCTCAAAGCTCCTCGGTGATTGCGTGACCATTGTTGTGGCTTCCCAGCTCGGTCGTGCCTTCACTCCAGACATTCAAGCAGCATGGCAGAAGTTTCTGGCAGTTGTAGTCTCTGCACTTGGAAAACAGTACCATTAACTGAACATCTGGTTTTGAAAAGCTGCACAGAAATATGTATGTGCATCTTCCAATTAATAAAACAATAAACAATTCTGATCAGTGGTGTTCTGTTACTGATGTTTGCATTGCATGCAATTTTGTTGTCCTCATTCTTAGAACTATGCTCTTATTATTGATTTTAGGCATCTGAATTTTAAATGAACAGTTTGGGTTTGGAATCCTATCTTACAAAGGGAAATATTTTACTTGGGAAAAACCTTTTAGCGACTACTTTCTGGTTTCAGCACTGGACAGCGCCACATACAACCTGTCCGATCCTATCAGGCACTCTCAGCTGCTGCCATAATAATAAACATTTTCATTTTCATTAAGCTCCTAAACAGATAGACCATATAAATCAGATTAAATCGTTAAACATAATACATTTTATTTCTGTCATTAAAAAAAAAACATGATGCTTACCTGCTGTTCGGAGGAAATATGGTGACAGAAGGTCGGTTCCAGATGTGCATTTTGCGTGCAGTTAAAAGTCAGTGGCTGATGCAGAGATGTGTTATGTCAGGCATTTTGAATGGTTAACCAGATAAGAAAGCTTGAATCTCTTACAGTCTTGGCACAGTGGCCTGTATTTCTTATTTTCCCCACCCATCCTTAACACTAAAAGGGCAACAAGAAGTCATAATGCTAAGGTCTCGACTCAAATGTTCCACGTGATGCGTTTATTTACTGTTTGTGAAAACTTCATTATGCTTCGTTGTGTACCTGTAATGTGCACATAAAAGTTCGTTTGTAATACCCCACCATAAACAATTCATAACTGTATATTTATTTAAAGAACACATCAAAGCATTGTTGAAAAACTGAATGAATTTAGTTTGTAAGGGTTAATGCAGGGTAGTTTTCATGTGGTAGTTTTCATTAGAATTACTTGACCGACAATTAAAATGGGATAATAAGACTTAAACACATGTTAAACACATTTATTATTCAAACTCTAGAGACAGAACAATGACAGAGAGCCCTCCAAGGCTTTCATTAAGAAGGACATTCTTTGATTCCTATACTCGTGAAGTGTAACTAACAAACACATAAATACATACATAAATAATTAGGTGTGTCATTACATACGACACTGTATACAATATATTTTAAGCGTGTTTTGAGCTGCTAGGTCTTTTGGGTTAAGAGTGCTGGTGGTACATGCAACACGTTATCAGTGTTTTGTCATGAAAACAAATATGCGACTCAAATAAATAATAAGACGCTGATTTCGTAAACGAATGGAAGAACATCATGTTTCAGTCGAATCTAAATGAATGGACAATGGCCAAAAGTGAGGGGAAACTGACTATAATTTTTACATTTCAGTAACAGTATGCTTCCAGCATGCATTTATGAAGGGGTTGGCTCTTAAAAAAAGATTTACTGATCAGGCAGTATTTAGCTTATTACTAAAACACAGCTAAATTCTGAAACAGCAACGTCTGTTGAATTCCCAAGTTTAAAATGCGTAAAAATCAATATGCAGACATTATGTTTATAACCAACCTACTTAAATTCCATGAGGACCACAGTCTGTTTGTCAATATTGGACCTATAACTACTAATACGTTAGCAGATTTAAAACTGTTACAAAGTAGTCAAGTCACTTACCTTTTAATTGCATAATGCTTTTCTTAATCCACGTTTTGTCAAAGTTTAACAGAATATTGTTTTGAACAAAATATGAGCTGAAAAAAATGTGATATTTAAAAATGCGATTAATACGAAAATTGAATACATATATCGACAGACTATAGATTATGTCAGCATAGCCATACAGTATGTCAGTATATATGAACTTCCCACTCCTATCCGGAATGCTGAATTCCTGACAATTTTGTAAGTCGCTTTGGATAAAAGCGTCTGCTAAATGAATAAATGTAAATATATAGGCTATAGGCTATATAGTCAGACTATGTCAGTGTGGAAACGTTTGAACTGTAAAGGTAATAAATAATTATATTTATTCATAATAAGTTTAATATTTTAAGTACATCCTAAATTAACTAAAGAGGCAGGCGTAATGATCAATGAAGCGTTCTTAGCTGTCAAGGCAGCTCTCTGAGGGTTACAGCTCCCCCGCCGAACACGAGCCCGTCTCCGGCACAAGAACCAGCACCGCTACACTGGAAACGGGCTAACAGACCAGGCTGATTGCACTTGAACTACTTTTAGACGTTACATTTTTGAATTCCAATATGTTCTTATGCAATATCGTATTAAAACAGTAATCAAAAATAAAAGTAGTTCTCATATAAACCAGTGTTTTTTGGAGCATTTTACTAAAGTTTAGAGCAAATAAGTTGACATTACTCATAAATACTGGCTTATTTTATTTTATTGATTGATTGATTCAAATATTTGAGTTAACTGGTTGGGTCTATTCAGTTGTATTTGTTATGGTACCAAGTTATAGCTAGGCTACATCTACATTTGGTCAATTATAACCTGAGTACGTGTACCACTACCAACCCTACATATCAGATCTGTGTTGTGTTTTTGTGTGCATAAACAAAAAGAGACGAAAATGATAGCTTGATTTCATTTTATTACTTTCATCATCATTAAGGCGAATACAGTGTCGCGTCGGAGATGAATACAGACAGGGTCGACTTTAGCGGTACTTCTCGGACAGAGCCAGGCTGATCTGAGCGAGGAACTTGTCCACAGAAACATGCACCTCAGGAGTGAAGTCGTCAGGAAACATCATTGAGAGCACAACGAGGAGATTGTGATTGATGATCTGACAAAAAAAGGTTGTTGATACAGATTATATTTAATTACAGTTAAAATGAAATATTTTCAGCAAAACGTACCTTGAAGTTAGCGGGGTCCACGCGAAGCATGAAGGCGTGAAGCTCGCTGAGGGTGAGCAGACCCCCCTTGAGATCATCTATCAGCTGGACAGCGCTGAGGACGCCATTCATTATGGTCAGCCCATGTTTTTTCACCTGAGGTGAGCTGGGGCTCAGGTCTGCCCAATGGGAGAAGTAGGTCTTCGTCTGAGGGTAGACGAACAGAGTCCTGCAACGATTCAAAACAAAAGAGATATAATAGCAGCCTATGTTATGCATGTCCGTTCATTTATGCAAAAACTGCCGTTCAAACTACCTGGCCAGAGCCTCGCTGCCAATCTCTTCCGCCTTAGGGGCAACTTTGCCGAAGAAGGTCTTCACCGCCAATTTGTCCTTTGCAGAAAGACTCATGGTGACTAGATTCGTTGTGAACAGGCTGCCAAAACAAAACTCAACCTAGCTGTGTTTCTTTTGGCAGGGCTTTTTAAAGGAGAGAAGGGCACTGTTTTGAGGGGGGGAAATGTTTGACTCCACCTCCCAAGTAGAGCACTGGGGGGAAATGTCTCGAAACGTGATAAACAAGACAAGCTGTTTAAGTGTGAATCAAACTTCATGTTCACGTAAACACATACACTTCATGTATCTATTATTCAAACCCTGTCAATTTCAGAGTCCCCCAAGGCCTTCATTAAAAACACATTGTTTGATTCCTGCTGGTGAACTGTAGCTTGACTTTAAACTGGTTGTGACATTGCACAGTTGTTATCTCTAAAAAAGCTGTAAGGTTTGATGGTACATAAAACATCTCTTGATTTCTTTAATTTCTGGAGGTTCTTATGCTGTAGGTGTAAATTAACAGCTAACAGTATTTTCAAAATTCAAATGTTTTTGGTATTTTTATTTTAGCTTCATTAAGACAGATATTAAGGTAACACTTTAGATTAGGAAAACCTATTCACAGTTGCTTATTAGCATGCATATTACTAGCATATTAGCTGTTTATACCTATAGTATAAAGCACATAGGTCTCACGCTGCAAGACCATATAGAGCCCTTAACCCTACCAATACCTAAACTACACTGTAAAAAATGACTGTGAATTTAACGGTAAAAGACTGTAAAAATGCTACAGTAAAAACCTGTTAAATGATTAACGGTAAATTCCCCTACTATATACTGTGAAAAACTGTATTGGACATTACATGTATTGGACATTCATTTTACGGTAGTATACCGTACAGTGAATAACCGTAAATTGACATGAAATGCGTTACATTTCAAGTTTGATGTTTTTTTGTTGAAATAACTGTTTCTTCTTAGTTTGTTCTTATCAGTTTTGTATATTAGGGTTGTGTGTTACACCTAATGTTATTAAATGAATAAAAACCTGTTAAATGATTAACGGTAAATTCCCCTACTATATACTGTGAAAAACTGTATTGGACATTACATGTATTGGACATTCATTTTACGGTAGTATACCGTACAGTGAATAACCGTAAATTGACATGAAATGCGTTACATTTCAAGTTTGATGTTTTTTTGTTGAAATAACTGTTTCTTCTTAGTTTGTTCTTATCAGTTTTGTATATTAGGGTTGTGTGTTACACCTAATGTTATTAAATGAATGTTTATTGCATTATTTCAGTTTCATGTGTGTTATGATGGTGTTTAGTGTTTGTGTTTCTATATATGCTATTATTTAAAAGCTGCTTTTGATGGGTTTTGGTTCATCGTGTGACTTTCTCATCACCACCTGCATTTGGTGGATATCAGTATATTACAAAAGTACAAAACAGATTTCAGTACTTCAATAGGTTGGTATATTAACATTATATCAGTTAATAAAATGACGGTATTTAACTGTAAATTTAAGTTAAAACCGTAAAACCTAAAACGTTGCTACCATATTTTCTAAATTAAAAAAAAATGTAAATTTAAAAATTTAAATTTTACGGTAAATTTTTTTTATAGTGTACTACAAAAAACTACCTTATCAATAAGCAGCAACTTAGGAGTTTAATGAGGGAAAACTTTTATTAAATAGTGAATATGTGTTCCCTACTCTGAAGTGTTATAGCCTACTTAAAATATTACACCACAGCTAGTCTATGGACTGTACATTAATTATGTAGCCTATGGATAATGTAACAAACAAACAAAGAAATGGGCTATCGTATAAATTAAACAAACTAATTAGTGAACGAACGAATGAATGAATATGTAGGGCCTACACTGTAAACAAACAAACAAACAAAAAACTTGAGAAATGGAGTCAGTAGGAGTCCGTTCATAATTTTTGTGTGAACTGAACAAGAATACTCTAAACAAGTCGCCAGCAAATACCTTACGTAGATACTCAAGTATTCGTTCACAACGTGTCCAAATGTTCTCCCAACTTTTCAAATTAAGTTATCTGAACAAACAGTTTTACATCGAACATTATTGTGCAAGTTCCCAGCATCCATTGCAGCTTGAAAAAAGGTGGCAATTATTATTAACATATTATAATTGTTTACTAGCTTAATTTATGCTGCTGCATTTCACTATCAGTTAGCTGTCATGTAGATCAGAGTTCGTATTTTCACTTGAGTGGTGTGTTGAGGTATGTGCATCTTATTGCAAGTTCTGCATTCAATACATTTGTCTATTAACATAAATGTTTGCCCTTACTTTTAAGAAGCAGATACTGAAAACGAAACATAATAATAAAAGAAAAAAAAGGATAAAGCGGATTAGCAATGCTTTAGTTCATGTGGCAGGTATTTTATAATGAAATAGATTGCGTTTTATTAATTAGATGAGTCGCCAGTTTCTTGTTGAGTTATAAAGTTTGATTGTGATATTGACTTTTTAAGTTAGGTAAACTTTTTTTTTTACAGTGTAGTCTTTATTTGCGTTTGTTCATGCTTTGTTCCCGTAGTCTTTAAGTGTGAAATTTTCGAAACACGTATTCATAAAATAATTTTAGGTTAAGAGTGCTGATGGCACATAGCCGATAATTGACTTATTTTAAGAATGTCGCTGTGATTTGAGTCCACGTTGCCAATATTGACATTTAATTAAAGACTTATCAGACTGTATTCGAGTGATAAAGCCCATAGGCATTAATATTTGACCAAGCTACTATTGCTGGAGAGAAAGGGCGGATTTCAAGTCTTATCTTCTAGAAACATGAACACATTTTATCAGTAACTTCAGAAGTAGGCTACGGTCCACCCATGTTTGGCACTGATCTCGATTACAATGAATTTGCTCAGGGATAGAAATCTTCCGGCTTTCTGCTGAAGCATGCTGCAAATGGCACTTCTGAGAATGCAAGATGTTTCACGATGAATGGTGTAACTCATGTGCTGAAGGCATGCAAAAGGCATTAATTGTATCGACAGACAAACAGAGAAACAAACAGGGATAACAAAAACGATACTTCGCTACTTTATGTTGCAAAAAATACTTTATGTTGCAAAATATGTTGGCCTACATTATAGTCAATATAGGTTTTTGTTTACAGTTTACAAACTTGATGTGAATTCATCATGCATGAATGATATTATGTAGCGTACGTAATACTTTATAAGCGTGAAATTACTTTTGTGTAGTGTATATACATGTGTATATAGATCTAGAAACATGAACACATTTTATCAGTAACTTCAGAAGTAGGCTATGGTCCACCCATGTTTGGCACTGATCTCGATTACAATGAATTTGCTCAGGGATAGGAATCTTCCGGCTTTCTGCTGAAGCATGCTGCAAATGGCACTTCTGAGAATGCAAGATGTTTCACGATGAATGGTGTAACTCATGTGCTGAAGGCATGCAAAAGGCATTAATTGTATCGACAGACAAACAGAGAAACAAACAGGGATAACAAAAACGATACTTCGCTACTTTAGGTTCACTTGCAAAATATGTTGGCCTACATTATAGTCAATATAGGTTTTTGTTTACAGTTTACAAACTTGATGTGAATTCATCATGCATGAATGATATTATGTAGCGTACGTAATACTTTATAAGCGTGAAATTACTTTTGTGTAGTGTATATACATGTGTATATAGGCTAATTTAGCTGTCATTACATGTGTCTGTAGGCATATACATTTATAGTCTACTTGTAGGCTACTTCAAAAATAAATAAATAAATGATTTTGCTTGGTCACACTAAGGCTTGTTGGTCATGTTATCATCTGTTTTAATAGTATGGTGCATTATGTGTAGGTTGCACATTTTTGCAAAGCATTTTTATAGATTTTTCATTGGACAGTAGAATAAACACTTGCAGCTGTCATTTGCTGTTTTCCATTGGGATGCTTTCTTTCTTTCTTTAAGTAGGATATTTAACTACATTCTGTAAGTTCCATTATAAGTATAAGGCAGCTATAAACACAGCAAGAAGACAATTATATTCGATTATGTCACATGAAAGTTAACGTGAAATCTATTACACTAATATTTAGTGTAATAACCACCATTGTTCTTACACCTTTAAAAAACATACAGTATATAGCATTCTGACAGCAAAACAGCTGCTCGTTACTACAAATATTTTAATAAATAAAAAACCGTAGACTCCATTAACCCCATAAAAGCTGATTTTACACGGTTTTTTTTTTTGATAGAGGTTCCATTCTGTAAAAGAAGGGTTACTCAAACTATATTGAACATAAATGTGCAGGTGCCAGAAAACAGCTACCATGTTAATAAAAGGTGTTAGTTGCAATAAACAATTTTTATACACTTTTTTATACACAGAAAAGGAAAATGTCTGTGCTACATCTACACAGATGGACTGAAAGCAGTTTTCTTCATCGTATAATTGCGTCCTCTGGCGTACAACACGTTTCTTTTTTTATTGCTGCATTGCTACAAGGTGTACACATTCAATAAACACTCCATTCCATTCCACTCCACTTCCTTCTATCTAAATTTATTTTTTTTCCAAAACAAGGGAAACAAACAAACAGACAAATTTAAATGTGAGCACTTCACATAAAGGTTCATGGCCGGCAAATGTGCCAAAAGATATACAAAGCTGTGAACAGATGTTACAGATTTAAAGATATTCAAAGAGTGTTAAATAAAACAAATACAAAAGAGTATAAAACGAATGAAGTACTAAACTAGTTATAAGAAAGCGTGTGTACAAAGTGGGTAAACCAAAACATTTCAATCGATCTTTCCAATTAAACAAAGCTTTTCCATTTAAAATGATAAAATACACACATAAAATCTTTTGCTAAAAAAAGCGAAGGAAAAAATTATATAGTCTTTGCACTAAAACTTTGGAGATGATATATATTATTTTCATTTTGGAAAACATTTTACATTCATCATAGACAATACCGAGCCTTTAACCCCACATGCTGGACCCTAAAACCACCAGCGACTGAGCAAAAAGAAACAAAATCAAAAAAGTGAAAGTGACCAAGTATGGTGACCCATACTAGGAATTAGTGCTCTGCGTTTAACCCATCCAAAGTGCACACACAGCTGTGAACACACACACAGAGCAGTGGGCAGCCATTTATGCTGCGGCGCCCGGGGAGCAGTTGGGGATTCAGTGCCTTGCTCAAGGGCACCTCAGTCGTGGTATTGAAGGTGGAAGAGAGCACTGTACATTCACTCCCCCCACCTACAATCCCTGTCGGTACGAGTCCGATTCTCTAACCATTGGGCCATGACTTCCCCTGGTGCTCAGTGAACACATGCCAGTACCAATGTGTGTATATCACTTAAACCCGATGCGTTAGTGAATCTCAACCTTTTGGCGTACCGGACCCCAGTCCAATTCAGAATCATCCCCAAGGACCCCCAGAACAAAATTGACTCATCTATGTATCATTTGTGTCTTTGTGAGGACCAAATGCAGTCAAGTATAATTCAAGTTAGTTGACTTGTCCAGTATTTGGCCATATCATCAGCTATATTGGATTTTTCTTTCATGGGAACATGTCATGTCAAAATATACTAAATTTATAAAAAAATTCATACTTTATACAGACCCCCTGGCCTTACGTCAAAGACCACTAGGGGTCCAAGGACCCCTGGTTGAGAAACACTGCGCTAGACGACATCTGGTCTCATCCAACTAGAAACTCGCGAACCTTCATATTTCCTTCACTGGCTATGTATGATTACAAACTGGCAATATACAAGATTTAAAAAAAGAGATGTATTAGCTCTGTAAAACTCATTTTATGCTCATTTATAATGTTTTTGGAGAGCCCTTGTTCAATAAACCTTCAATACAAGTTTTTAACATTAACAAAATAACAAAACCATGCAGTCCTCCACAAATCAGAGTAAACAAAGTACAAGAGACCATAACACTGCACCGGCTGTGAACAAATCTGTGGTGGCAATGCTGTTTATTAGTTGTAAAGAGAACCTGTAGATGATTTACACAAGCCCACAAATTGAATACAAACACTATCTTAAGCAGGATGACGTCTCACAACGTGAATTCATTCAGTAAAAAATGCTAAAATATCATCATAAGTGTATTACCTGTAAAAGATGGCATTACAAATCTCCTAGAGAAGTAACTGGACCACTGTCTTTCCCGTTGTAGGGTGAGACAACTGCACTGTATAATCAAATATATTGTTGTAAAGGCTATCAAACGTTCTGAAAACAGCTGGTGTGGAAACTCAGAATGTGTTTTTCTTATTAGAAGAGTAAAAACCGTGAAAGGACACTTGATTAAAATACATGTTTTTTAGTTGTTTACACAATGCTCTTATAAATGTAATCAGTTGCTGGATGATTTGAATGCGAAATATTGCTGGATTGTTAAAAGTAAATGCACTTAGATAAATTGACTGTATAAGGTGACACTTCAACAAATGGACTGCTAAATGAACGATATTGCTGTTACACACTGGTTGTTATTCTTATTTGAATCGCACCCCTTTTATCTCCGCTACAATGGAAAACGCTACAAAAGGAACATAAAACAACATATAAGGACCAATGGTGTCAAGTGCTAATTCTTTTAAGAGTGCACAATTTTTATATCTCTAAAAGTTGCATATGCTAAATTGTGGACACACATACTGTACACATGTACACAAACACACAAAACCTCACACACACACACACACACAGACAGTGGAATGGACAAGGGCCACGTTCACACAGCAGCAGAATACGGTTGTCAGTCCTGTATTTGAGTCCTTAATACGGTTACGTTCACACACACACAGTTCGGTTATTTACGTTACATCTTTACGTGACATACATCTAGCTGTATGTCACGTCATACAGTGCGAGAGGGAGCCGCTCTGCCGCACAAACGGGCATCTACCGTGTGTTAAGCGTTTTCATGCGTGTTTTGTGATGGAGAATGTGACGGAGAAATTAGCTTCGTGTCTGTCACCTGAAATTTTTAGATCCCATCAGTAAGCCGCTCCAGTCAGTTTGTGTTCTGTGCGCGACTCAAATACTCCACTCTCCACCCAAATTTAAAGGCTGCTGTCGGTTAATGAAGATTTGACGGATGAACTCACGGCTCGATTGGTCGTGTCAGAAAGTGATAAGACTTTCAGTTTTATGGACGTCGCCCATCTTTGATCTTACTTTGGTCACTGTCGCTATGGTTACTAGTAAGGAATACGGGCTTGACTCCCGTTGCACATTCATACAGACAATATTCTAAACACAACTGTAAGCTGCTGTGTGAACGGGACATTTAGAGACTCACACCTGTAAAGAAAATACGGTTGTCAATCCAAAAAATTTACAGTGTGAACGTAGCCAAGGATCGTTTGCTGGAAGAGGTGACATCAGATTCATGACATCCATTTACTTCAGTTCAGAGGAGGGAGGAGAAGATCCCAGAATTGGAGACTTTGGTGACACCTGTGGAAAAGGAGAAACTTGGCGGCTCAAGTCACAGGGTTGATGAACAGAATACTGGATGTGATAGCTCTTATTGTGACATTTGTTAACTTTGGCTATTAAGTGAGAACAGAGCAAGCACACTCACAGGGGAAGGCGGCTTCGCGAAATTGAGGTGCGCATACAGAAGCACGGCAATGTCATTCTGACTGGCCTCCAGTGCTATGGAAAGAGCTGTGCTGCCGTCCTGTAAAATAGAAACAGAAAATGTCACAAAGCATAATAAACATTTTCGTAACAGCTAAATAACTAGCGTAGTGTTAGTTATGGCAGGTCACGTTAGTCAAGCTCGCCATCAACCTATGGGAATATGACACCTATCTAAGTATTCATATATAAGGTCCCGCAGTAGTATCAGCAGTTTTCGCATTGCTCAATAGCTAATTACCCTCCTCCATCCCCAACTCCTCCTCTGTCAGTCAGGATTCAGCCTTCTGATTCTCCTTTGAATCAGACTAATTCTAAAATGTGTACATAACTTTATTGAACTTTAACGATATCTACAATACATTTATGTTGGTTCTGTTCTGTTTACCCTGGGGGGGTTATCGCTGCTCTCCCTGCTCTCATCCATGCTAGCTGCAAGGATGTGCAGGGAGTTCTTGCCCAGAACGGAACCATACCGCCAATCCAAACTGTATGCTAATTGTCAATCATCTTTGAGGATAGTGGTCCTGACAGTAAGTAAGGGTTAATGGCAAACATGTGTGTCCACAATAAGGAAAATTGAAAAACATTTGAAGAATCTAGTGTAAAACAAATTCTTAGAAATGTATTCTATTCTTTGTATTCATGTTGGTTTCATTTGGTTTTAAAAACTATATACCACAAATTATTAATCCGTACATGTGACCTTTTAGTTTTAAAAACTTTAATACTAACTTTAATACCATTTTTATTACAACTTGATTAAAACAGCTGATAATATATATACCACATATTATTAATTCAGAAATATCATTAACTTTTTTAAGAGTTGTTGTACATGTGACCTTTTATAACCATTATACACCTTACAGTAACCTTGTCTCGCCATTAAAAAATCAAATGATCAAATTTAAAATACGTTAAAAAGATTTCAGACATGAGGGTCTGCAAGGGTTCTCTCTATGATAAAGTGTTTTAAAAAAAATTATATATATATATTTCCTGCCTGTTGGTTACACTTTGATTTGACAGATGAAAGTTTTTAAAATATTAATAATATTTTACCAAAACTACTTCATAGTTAATTTTTTCCCCTAAGGAATAGTAATGAAGAATTATGCTTGACGGCATACCACACTTAAAGGCATAGTTCACTCAAAACTGAAATCTCTGTCATCATTTACTCACCCTCTAGTCATTCCAAACATGTACGACTTTCTTTTTTTGTGCAACACAAAAGAAGGCGTTTTGAAGAATGTGAATAAAAAACGTGAGTTTTTTTCCCCCCCATTGACTTCTAGAGTATTTTTTTTTGTTCATACAATGAAAGTCAATGGGACTTCGCAACCAATGTTCTTCAAAATATCTGATTCACAGAAGAAGAAAAAATCGGTTACACATTATTTTAAGGCGTCCTTGTAACAGTGTAATTATACATTTAAGTACTGAGTAATTTTAATTAACTACATGCACTTACTATATGTGACCCTGGAGCACAAAACCAGTCTTAAGTCGCTGGGGTATATTTTGTAGCAATAGCCAAAAATACATTGTATGGGTCAAAATTATTGATTTTTCTTTCATGCCAAAAATCATTAGGATATTAAGTAAAGATCATGTTCCTTGAAGATATTTTGTAAAGTTCCTACATTAAAACTTAATTTTTGATTAGTAGTATGCATTGCTAAGGACTTAATTTGGACAAATTTAAAGGCGATTTTCTCAGTATTTTGATTTTTTTGCACCCTCAGATTCCAGATTTTCAAATAGTTGTATCTCAGCCAAATATTGTCCTATCATAACAAACCATACATCAATGGAAAGCTTATTTATTCAGATGGTGTATAAATCTCAATGTCAAAAAATTGACCCTTATGACTGGTTTTGTGGTCGAGGGTCACATATGGTTAGGATTAGGGTTTGGCTTAGGGTTACTTGCATGTAATTATGCATCATTTATTGTTATTATAATAGTAAGTACATGTAACATGTGCAACAAGGACACCTTAAAATAAAGTGTTACCAAAAAATCCATACAGGTTTGGAAGGACATTGAGGACAATTTTCATTTTTGGCAGACATATCCCTTTACGATGCAGAACTGGTCAAAATTGACAATGAGAAGTGATAAAGAAGATAGACGGAATTTAACAGATGAAGGTGGAATCAAGCTTGATAAAGAAAGAGATAATCACATTATCAGTGAGCGTGGCGTCACAGCCCGGCACAGACAGCAGCTGCCGCACAATGTCCACGTGTCCGTGTTCACAGGCACACATGAGCGCTGTGGAGCCGTCATCATCCCGCAGGTTTACCTGAGCTCCACAGGACAGCAGAGCTCTCACCATGTCCCCTCTGCCATGACTGACCGCCAGCATCAGCGCCGTCTGCCCCGCCTTGTATGGGTCAAAATGATAGATTTTTCTTTTATGCCAAAAATCATTAGGATATTAAGTAAAGATCATGTTCCATGAAGTTATTAGTAAATTTCCTACTGTAAACATATTAAAACTTAATTTTTGATTTGCAATATGCATTGTTAAGAACTTCATTTGTGGCGCTTTTCCACTGCGTGGTACGACTCGGCCCGGCACGGCTCAGTACAGCACAGCATGGTTCGGCTCGGCACGGTTTGCGTTTCCACTGCAGTTCAGTACCGCTTTAGAGTGAATGATTATTCACATGTGGTTATAGTTGCGCCGCCTCTACTACCACGACTCCTAAAAAAAACTTTTTCATTCCGCATCGCCCCATCAAGCTCTCGCTGGATCCGCTCCTCTGCTATCAACGAGAGGAACGTCTGTACTTCCGCAACAGACAACAAAACTTTTTGGTTGTTAAAAAAAGGTGCGCTCGTTCAAAACAGTTGCGTTCGATCCTTCGCTGGCTGTGCTGATTTAAATCTAGCGGGTCTTTTGTGTTTGTGACGCAGGTAGTGACGATTCTCTCCGGCCAATCCGTGATCAGCAGAGTTTACACGTCACATTTTGGTAACGGTACGGTTCACTTGGAACCCCAACCGAAGTGGTACTAAAAAAAGTACCAGGTGCCAGGTACTGTACCCAGTGGAAAACCCCCCAAAAGTGAACCATACCGAGCCGTACCGTGCCGTACCATGCAGTGGAAAAGCGCCATTGGACAACTTTAAAGGCGATTTTCTCAATATTTAGATTTTTTGGCACCCTCAGATTCCAGATTTTCAAATAGTTGTATCTCGACCAAATATTGTCCTAACGAACCACACATCAATGGAAAGCTTATTTATTCAGCTTTCAGATCATGTATAAATATCAATAAAAAAAAATTTACACTTATGACTGGTTTTGTCATCCAGGGTCAAAATATTGACACTCTTTAAGTACTGAACTCTACTGATTTCCCTTTCCCCACTGAATTACCCTTTTGCAATTGTAACAACAGAAATAGGGGGAGGAGAGATATGATATAATGTGTCAAAGCATGTGCCTGCCTACAAAAACAGTGCGTCAGCAGCTGCTCAGATGTGAAGAGCGTCGCTCACCAGTATCCAGCAGTAGTTTGACTACAGCGAAGTTGGAGTGAGAGACAGTGTAGTGCAGAGCTGTGTTTCCATTGCCGTCAGCCATGTTGATGACAAACTCCAGTAGCTGAGGAGAAATGGAGGCAAAGTTGTCCATGTATGCTTTGACAACTGCAGTGTCAGCAGCCTTATGACAGGACACTCTGAGCCACTCCTGCAGCACTGTGGTGTAGGCTGTCCTCTAGCAAAACAAGAGACAGAGACAGAAATGGGCTTTTACTACAGTGTATTGCAATAAATACATCATGCTCGTTTACTAGCAGATCCTCAATATGACTGAATAGCTGTTTTAAAGGCGGGTCATAAAATAAAATATGAGTGGCGCTTGTCCATGCACAACTTGCCACCACAGTGTTGGAGCTCAAACAACATGTGTCCAATCTCAAGTCTGGTCAAGTACATATTCAAGTGTGATCAAGTATATATATATATATATATATATATATATATATATATATATATATATATATATATATGTTTATACATTTTCAATTCAAGTCTAATGAAGTTTTATATATGATTCTATATGATGATAATTATGATTAGAAACAATAATTTGAGGTATTATTCATGCCTGAGGCACGAAAAGTACTGGATGAGTTATATGGCAACGTTTTGAACGGGAAATGTAGTAAAATAAGCAATAACAATAGTGATGCTAATTGTTCTATTTGAATATTTTTAATGCATCAATGGAACAATAGAAATGGCTGATGCAGTCAAAAATATTGCAAATACTAGGGCCCAATGAAATCCATCTTAATTTTTTTCTGGTTTCCGATTTATTGGTTAAATAAAATTGTAATACTCAAAAAGCATGTCTAATTAATAAAACTTTAGCAATTTAATAATTTAAATCAATTCAACTTTTTTTTTTTTTTTTTACTACAACAGGTTCCTGTGAAATTCAGAAATTTTGTGTTATCCGTTTGAATTGTTCTGGGTTTATGATTTAATATTAATTTAATCTTTTAATATGTAATCAAATGAAAATGTAACAATTACTTTGATTGTTGGCAAACAAAGCACTGCAAACAGAGGTTTACAATAAAAAATAAAACATGGAGGAATTGTGTGATACTTCTTAAAAAAAATGTCGTTTTATTAATTTTATTTCTATTATTTGAAAAGTACATTCAACTGTACAACAGTAATATACTTCTGTCACAATTTCAAGTTAAACCAAACTTTTGTTGTCGTGAAGGCCTAGCTCAAAACTAATACATATTGTGACTTGATTACGTGTACAGCCCTACTTTTGATTTATTCACCCCAAATGTGTCAAATTCTGTGACATTTCATGTTATACTGTAAATTCCATTTATATGACTGGATGGATGCGTGTTTTTTTCCGCATTTACAGGACTCATAGGGCCTTATGCAAATACAGACTAATTTTCTAAGCAAAGTAATTACATACTTCACTTTAAAGTTATGAACTATGCTATCTATCCCTTTTAAGCATGAGAACACAATTGATGAACATACTGCATTTTGATGACTAAATGCATTTGGTTCACTGAGTGCCTTCTGCAAGGTGTGGAGGGCCGCCACGAGACTGCCACTCAAATCCAGTCTGGAAAGAATGAGACATTTTTGTAAATCAGCATTTACAGCCAACTACATAATCAAAAGTGAATCTCATAAGAACTTGGTGTCACTGATTTGAGTCTCCCTACCTGCTTGCTTGTTTGTTAGTAGGGGTGGTGCTTGTATTTTCAGCTGGATCAGTGGTGGAGGATATGGCTATGTCCTGTTTTGCTGAGGCATCAGTACATTGTGACTGTGTTGCTCCTTGTTGGATGGTGAGGTCAGCGGTTTTTGATTGGCTAACATCTTGCTGAGGTTTGGCACCGGTGGATTGTGACTGAGTGACTGTTTGCTGAGCAGCAAGGCCCGACACATCTGGCTGAGTGAGATTTGGCTGGACGTTTGAATCGGTGGCTTTGGATTGCTGCACCATAACGCTGGTGGATGACAACTGGACAGAGTCTTGTTCAAGAGAAGCGGCAGTGCTTTGAGAGGTACGCCCTTGGAAAACATTTGCTGATTGAACGATGCCCTCCGGATGAGCCATGGTGGTCACTGACGATTGGTTTACAGAGTGCTGTATGCCTGCCTCTGCTGCTGGTGATTGGGTGACCGGTTGCTGGGTAGCTGCATCCGTGGCTTGCGATTGGCTGGTGCTTTGCTGTGCTGCAGTGTGATTGGCTGGTGGCTGGGCAGTGCTGTGCTGAGGTGTTTGAGCAGCTGCTGTCTCACAGATGGGCTGCAGGCTGCAGGAGGTCACCTGAGACTGCTGAGCCACAGATTCCGGTAGTTTCTCTGTAGCCTCGTGGTATTCGCTTGCATCGCTCTCATCTTCTGAACTTTCCAAGCTGCTGTTGTCAGAGGATGTCGACTCGTACCTGCAGGGCACATTAGCTCTTTTATTTACCAGATAATTAAAATGAAATGTATCCCAAATTGATCATCTAAACAAGATGTGCAGTTCCTGAAGGAGACATAATTGTCGCAAGGCAGCAAAATAATAGTTTTGTGCTTGTTTTCAGTTTAATATAAAATTTCCTAAAAACTATAGTTTCCAAAAACCAAAAAGTCACCCTTAACCAAATAGTCTGAGCAATATATACATTATGCTAAAAGAAACATTAGCAAAAATACATAGTAGTTCAATGACAACAGTTGAAACAAATATCTACAACATACTTATTTAATTCACATAATGCTTTATTTACCCTCCATTGACTCCTATGAACTGCAGGTTCTTTTTGGTGTACGGAGAGCCAGGTTCCCCATCTGCCTTTCGCTTCATAATTGACCTCAGGTTGGACTGAGGGGAGGCTGGAAAAACACACACACATGGACAGTGTAAAAATCACTAGTTATCTTATAGATATCCATAGAATACATGGAAGATGCCTGCTGGTTAGTTATCAGCAGTTACTAAAAACAACAAAGCAAACCTGGTTTTGCTGGATCGATTTGGATGGCTTCTTCTGCTGGTTGCTGGTTAATCTCTCCCTCTTTTAGCCGTTGGCAGACGGCTGTCACTTGGCTGCACTTTGTCTCCATAGCAGTTGCCTGGTTGGTCACTGGCACTGATTTGGACACTTCACTTCTCAAGACCTCTCGCACCTGCTTAGAGCTTATTGCAATGGGAAATTCACGTGGTGATTCTGAGGGCAAAAAAGAAAGGGAGTAGTTTAATGGGATAGTTCATCCACAAATTTTGGTTCAACTTTCTTTCTCTTGGAGAAATGGAGATTATCCATGCTGCAATTTTCAACACTGTGAAAGTGAACAGAAACAGAAGTGGTGTAACTCCAAAAATGTAAAAATGGCACTATAAAAGTGGACCATATGACTTAAGGGTGGTCACACTATACTTCTGTGGACACTGCTATGGACAAGATATAATGTCATGCTCTGTAGTGCCTTTTTTAAAAACATAAATTCAACATATAACAAATAATAATCAATCCAAAATGTAAAAATATACATCATTCTTTACTTTACTGCAAACCTGCACCTTTAAAGTTTGTGTTCAGCAGTTCAGCTAAGAGGTAACGCTGTGACGTATTGATTTTTTTTGGTCTACTGGGTCATGCATCTTCACACAATATGACATTACAGGTCAGAGTTCAACAAAATTGAACTTTCCAATGCAATGAAATTCACATCAGCTTGTGTTTCTGGTTTCCCACAAGAATGGAAGTCAATGACCCCTTATGCACATTATTCCAAAAAGTTATAAATCCATACAACAGCTTTAAGTAAGGAACAGACCAGATTATTTTGAATGCTCAAATGGGCAATGGCTCCACTGCCTTTAAGCTTGGCACATTGTGTCTTCACTCAACATATCTGAATACACATGTGCAGTGTTGGGGAAAGTTACTTTTAAAAGTAATGCATTACAATATTGCGTTACTCCATAAAAAAGTAACTAATTACGTTACTTAGTTACTTTTTATGGAAAGTAATGCGTTACATTACTTTCGTGTTACTTTTTAAATCTGGACAGGGCTTGCTTGTTTGTTTTTAAAATAAAAAAGTGATATTTTTGGCAAATATAAAAGCCTTTTCACACCAAAAGTGAAATGAATAAGCCTCAGGCTGAAGGGAAAGTACATTTACGTCCGTACAGTAGAATGCAGAAGAAGAAATTTCAACACACTTCAGCAATAAAAAAAAGACACACAAATGTTTGTCTAGAGTAATTTGTGCTTATTAGTATGGTTGAACTGAATCATCGAAGACATTGGTTAATAGATTTGGATTAAATACATAAAGGATATTTGTGTTGTTTAACATTTAATTATTGCAGGTTTGCGTCATATTCTGAGTTGCATTATTTTTATTCATTTTGAGCAATACTAAATGTTTTTTTTTGTGAGTGAGTGAGATGAATTCATGCATATTCATATTTATTTTAGAACTACAGTAGCATCTTCTGATTTCTCTCAACATGGGGACAGGAGAGCTGCCAATCAATAAATTGGAAAAAAAAGTAACTTATTAAAAAAAGTAACGTTATTTATTTGAAAAAGTAACTCAGATATTCGCTTGTAAATTAAAAAGTAATGCGTTACTTTACTAGTTACTTGAAAAAAAGTAATCTGATTATGTTACTTGTAATGCGTTACCCCCAACACTGCACATGTGTATATTCATGTGTATATTCAGTTGGGTTAGGATTAGGAGATTTGAGTGAATAATGACTTAAATTAAAATTTGGTGTCAGAATACTAATATGGGGCATGGACCACTTTCATGGTGCATCTTTGTAATTTAACAAGTGAACACTGTTTTTCCCCTTTTACTGTTATTGTACAGAAAAAAGCAAAACAAATGTTCTGCTTCCTTTCATGTACCATGAAAAGTAGTTCAGGTTTGGAACAACATGAAGGTGAGTAAATAGCGACAGATATACACACCCTCTACTGCTGGGGACTCTGCATGTCTTCTGTGGGCTCCTTCTGGTGCAAACCCAGGCTGAGCGGGAGAAGTGCAACCCTGGGCTCTTAGCAGTGTCCCCACACCCACCACTGTGGGCTGCTCCAGTGTGTACACTTGGATCCCCACGGTTCTCTGCTCATGAGGCTGCTGAGTAAAACTGACAACTGTGTGCAGGCCTGCACCGGCCTGACCCTGCTGCTCCTGCCAGCCGATACTGGTGGCTCTCACCGCATGGCTCACCTGAGCGGAAAGAGCTCGCCTCTCTCTCTGAGCCACTTCCACTTGCTGCTGAGCGCTCTGTAGCTCCTGCATCGTTTTCCTCAGTTGAACTTCTAAAAGCCCCACCTTAGTCTTGAGGGCTTCGGCTTCAGGCAGCAGCCCCAAGTCCTCTTCTCGCACCCCAACTCCCACTTGATGGTAAACCACCTCAGGTCCCACACCCACAGTTCGCACCTCCCGCTTTGCACCCGGACGAGCTCCACCTACAATTACAGTCTCCTCGATTTCACATCCTGAGTCCTGAAGGGAACCCGGAGTGGTAGGTGATAGACTTCCTGCGCCTCGGTTCGCGGCTCCTGTCCCGTTTCCCGTTTCCTCTTCGGGGATGTCGATGTAGAGCTCTCCCCGTGGACGGCTCCGACTGAACCCCAGTGTGTGTCCCAGGAACTTCTGGCTCTTGAGTTGCACGCTAAGCTGCCTCTTCTCCTCCTGAAGCACGGAGATCTTCACTTGCAGCACCGGGATGGTCTTCACCTGCTCCTCCAGCTCCCGGATCTTCCGCAGGGCGATGGCCATCTGCTCCCGTACGTGCTGCAGATGGGCGGGTGTCGGTGAGACAGGTGTGGACAAGCCAGAGCTTATTGGCGTATAGGAGCCACCTCCCTGGGCACGATTGAAGCTGTGGGCACTGGATAGTGAGGTGTTGGAGCTTGCCACGCTGCTGTGCATGCTGCCCAGGTTCGAGAAACGACGGCCATCCTTCTCCTCCTCCAGCTTGCGGCGAGCGTCCAGCAAGGTCTTCTCCACGCGTGTCGTACTGAAGTTGGGTCGCTGTGAGCTGTGAAATCCCGGCGCACAGTAGGAGTACGACGAGTGACGGCTGTCCATGCTGGCGTTGGAGCAGAGCGACTCAGTTGAAGTCCACCAGGAGCCCGTGTATCCATAGCCACGTGGAAGCGAGCCATAACGTGGGCGCCGCTGCACTGGCACCTTCTTAATAGTGTTGCCCTTTTCAATATCATTGACATACTTGAGGAAGTCCAGGTCCAGATGGTAGCCATAGGGGGTCTCTACTGAGTATGGAGCCTCTGAGTCCTTTCCATGCAAGGAGGGGGGCTCCGGGGGGTTAATCTTCCCTAAAGATAGAGGAAACAACTTTAAACTGCAGGAATTCTTGGTCTAATCTTTGAATCAGACAACAGGGAAAAGAATAAGGCTATGACTGAATCAGGGCTTCACTTAGTGAACTTATTAGTTAGCCTCTTAAGTGCGGATGAACTGGAGAAAGACAACAGAATCACGATATATAAACATTAGAGTATGTGTAGTATCCGGATTCAAAGTGGGACCTTACCTGGAAAACTGGAGTCCATATGAAGCACCTGAGCCATGATTGTCATTCACCAGCCAATCTCTCCTGGATAGGAAAGATACTGTAAGTAACCAATACCAATTTTCCAATTGAACCTAAGAGATCTATGACGAGCTACCAAACCTAATAGTTAGCTCTCATTCAAAATCTTTAAATCAGAAATTAAGCTGCAGCGTACAAATATACTCCTCAGACTAGCAGGGGGAAAGGCTCAAATTCCATATTAGCACTGGATTCACAGGAGGTAAATGGTAATTTCAAGTTATCTAAGATATGTTAGGTTTGAAAACTGAGAACCATGTTTCCTTTTTCCAAATAAAGTACCTAAAGGATAGTTAATGGAATCGTTACGAAAGCAGAAAAGTTCAGATGAATATGAATCAGAGCTGCTAAATTCTTCTTGTTTCCCATTTCTGAATAAGATTTACTCCTCAGATGATGATATCTTAAATTCAATTCAGTCAGTCATGAGGGCGAGTACATTTTGGGTGAACTATTCCTTGAAGTCCAACAAATTATACAGTGCCCCTCACAGTTAAGTAAGTAATGATAAAAGTAGTGATATACACCTATTTAAATGTAAATTTATAAATAATTATAGATCCTAACAGAAAACTCTTGAGCATTTAACTAGTAAGCTAATTTTTGACGTTTGTGAATGTTGTTAAAATGATACTAAGGAAATATGTAGAATTAACCAACACTGACTTGAATGTGTACCTTTAAGATCCCACACAAATCTTTTGTGTTGGGTTCAAGTCTTAATTAGGAGGGTCAAACTCCCTGTAATTCGTCCCTTTCTTTATCCCCTACAAAGTTAGACTGTTCAGTTTCTGTTTGTTTCTAGTTCTCTTGTTTGGAGGAGAGGGGAAAGTTCTCTGGCAGGCAACAACAGGAGAAAGAGCATCTGGTTACAGCCTTATTAGGAATCATCTGAATACGCTCTCTGTGGTTCTCAGAATTGAGGTACTGTAAAAGAACACAGACACAGGAACTATTGCTTGGCCTTTCTCTCTCTCGCACTTTTTATCTCCTTTTTTCTCCCTTATTTTTCCTCACTCTGTCAGCTGATGATCAGGAGATAGCAGCTGACCTCTGTCCGCTCTTCCTTCTTCTGCTCTCTCAGTTGTGCATTTCGACTGAGGCAAAGCATTCCAGCTTTAAGTCAATTAGGTAAAATGAAGCAGAAGCATTACATGCACAGGCCTTACTATAACTTATTTTTCTCTCTCTTTTCATCTGGCTCTTGTGCTTTTAGACTGCTCTCTTTTTCCCCTCAGCATTGCATCTTTCCCAGCTAATGTGCCTTCTTGCCAAAGATTAACTTTCTAGGTCATTAGTTAGAGGTGAGGTGGGGGGGGGTGCAGTGCCACGAGCTATCTCTGTTCCCAACATTAACAGCATATTAGACCACAGAGTTGGGCTCGAACTTCACAGACATCTCAAAGAGAACTGCTGACTGCTCCAGTAATTTCGGTTCAAAATGGCAAAATTGCTTCTCCCTTGCTGCCTCACACAAAACTTTTCCCCTCTGTCTAATCTCATGACCCTCTCGGTCTGTTTATGTTCTTGCCTCTTTGAGGAGAAAGTAGGGCATATACGGAAACACTGACTGAACTGATTTGGTATTTTGTAGATCTTAAGCCGACAAAATGAGCTCTCTTGCCCACTACCCATCCTGTGTGCTTTTGCTCACTTCCTTACACTTGAAATCTCACTCATTTAACAGGCCTCTCAGCTGTGTCACAGTGCCCCATTTTGACATCCGGTTGTATTTGTTTTGTATGAAATTAATCTTATTGAACTATCACTACCATTCAGATGTCATGTTAAGAACAACAAATACACTATTTTTCACCTTCATAATTTTAGGATGTAATGTGGAATATTTTATTTTTAGTATATAGCTTCAAACAATATAATACTTTTTGTCTCAGTTTTTTGTTACTTAAATGCTTATTTTAAAATACATTAATACAAAAATATAATTATTTTTATAATTATTATTTCTTTGTTTGTTAAACTTTTGCAGCTTTTTGGTAAGCAAGTCAGTTTTTTTGTCACAAAGATTTCCCAAGTTTCCATATCACCTAATTTCAATAAATGGGATATGTAGGGTAAATATAACATTTTTAATGCAAACAACAGAGAACAAATTATTACATTTAAACATTAAAAAAATTAAAGAAAGAATAAAAACGGCAATTTTACCATTAATACAAGATGCTAATAATACAAAAACTTAAAAAAATAAACATTGTATGATGTTTCTGACTGTGCCCATTAAAAATATCACAATGTAGAAAGATGATAATGAGGCCATGCAGGACAAAAAAGATTTTATTAAAACATGCCGAGCTGCTTAAGTCAATATCATCTTAATTAGTGGGTTTTTGACACTTGAGAAATGTTACTGTGAGCGCTAACACACAAACTTGTGTATGTATGTGTGAAAATTTGAGCGTCAGTGCTGTGAAGAGTGTTGACAGGGGGACGGTTGATGTGCCATAATTAGAGACTCCAGTAAAGGCTCACAGCATGACAAACATCCAGCCTTCAGCAATAACTGCCCTGTCTCTCTCACTATGCCACAAACACATCGTCCTGTCTCTCACTCTTATTTCTCTGCTCTATTTTTCTAACATCTATGTTATTATTGTTCATATTTAGGGTTAAGATTTGAACAAACTCTTAAACTGGGCAACTCATCCTGTATCATACTGCACTGTAAGTACTAAGTCAAATCGTCAGCTTACTGATTTTTCCCAGCGGCCATAACCTACATATGACTTTCCTGTCAACTGATAAAACAGCCAAAAAAACACCCTTTAAGGGGGTCTGAATACTTTCCGTACCCACTGTATATCTAAAGACTGCAACCATTCAGAAAACCCTAGTAACTGCATAGAAACATGTTAAAACCCACTCTGAACACTTCCACAACCTCATAGCAAACATTCAGAATGTGTTAAGCATTAGGGCTGCATGATTTGGGGAGAAAATGTAATCACAATTTTTTGAATAAAAATTGCTATTGCGATAAAAAAAATGAGTTATGATTTATTTCAACATTTTAGAGACATTACAACAGAAAAAGCATTTAAATTGAATAATATGTATATGTATTTTAAAGGGGTGCTATAACAAAAAAAACAAACCAAAAAAAAAAAAACATTGTCGAAGCATTTTTTTCTAAGAGCTACAGGTTTGCTATCTATGTGGGCTGCTCAATTTGGCCACATTTTGGGATTATATATCAATATAATAATAATTATTATGAATTGCTATTTTTATGATGATTATTAATATTATTAAATAAAAAACTAAACTAAATAAGAAAAATTACTATTGTAATAATAATACTTTCACTGTACATTAAAAAAAGAAGTGCTCAAGTGAAAATTTAGCTCCGAAATGAGCTGTACATAGATTTAATTAAATAGCAGTCTTTGCGATTTGATAATCACACTTAGCCATATCACAATTTTGCTTAGGCAGCGGCTTTTTGTGCTAGTTGTAAATAGCAATGGATTCTATTTACACTAAGCAAAAATAGCAGTAGACTTATTTTCTGCTATTTATACTACATACTGCAAATAGTGTCAATTATCTGCATGTATAACAGTATGCAATAATAACAAATTGAGTAAATGATCATTTTTATTAAAATTATTAAAAGGATACAGCCTTATTGTAACAATAAGAGCTTAAAGAGCTGTTAACACTTTCGTTGTTCTGTACCACTGGGTGTAGGGCTGCACGATTAATCGAATGCGATTGTCATGCACATCTCGTCAGTAAAGCTGGTTCTGTGATTAGTATTAAATCTCAATCACGTGCTTTCAGATGGAGCAGCATCCAGAAACCTTTCTGTGAATGAACACACATATCCTTCAGGTCATTGTGTATATTATTGCTGTCTTGTATATTGTCTGTTGCATTGTAGACTATTTTATGCATGCTTATGATATAACCACTCGTTCATGTAACCTTACATATACCATGTTTGGTCTCTATGAATTCGTATTCGGATTATCTAATTGAAAGTGTATATTATATGTTTATACCTATGCAACATATTAGTGTTCTAAGAACATTTAGCAATCTTTCATCACGCCCCCACTTGAGTTTCATTTGCAAATTACCATGCCCTCACACAAAGGGTCATTAAACCCTCCAGTAATGGCAACCTCCCACTTGGGATTTCAGCCTTTCTCTCAGGCTGTAAATCTGCTGAATATGCAAATGATTCCATAACTTCATTCCTTATTTCTCTCCTCTTTACTGCTTAAGCTTTAACCCTTTCCTATACCAACTGTAACAGTTGACCCTGAGAGGTCAAATAAATATCTACAGCGGATCTAAATATTTATAATTAATTATAACTAGTTATGATTAATTATTCATATTTCCCCATGAGCTGATTCGCTACACATTATTATAATAAAAATTATAATAAGACGAACTCGGACAAACCATATATTGTCGTAGTCGTGTGTTTATTAGTCATGTAGAGTTAAATCTTCTGTTTATTCAGCAACCGCTATAGGCATTTCCTGGGTTTCTTCTGCTGGGTGTATTTGGAGTTTCAGCGCGAGAGCGCCCTCTGGCCTTCAGATGGAGATTTACTGCTGATCACAAAACCGTGTTTCACTGAAAGATACGCATGACAATCACAGCTCCTGCCTAATCGTGATTTATCGCCTTTGCGATTTAATTTTGATTAATCGTGCAGCCCTAATTGGGTGCATACAATGAAAATAAAGATTCATTCATAAAGCCCTCCCTACATCTACCCTAACTCTATCCGATACTTTATTTTCAACTTACTCAAAACAGCAGCCACGTATCAATATCCATCCAAAATACTGCAAAGCGACACACGTCAAACCCCTTTTAGCAACATTTCAGCAATCGCATAGCAATACCCTGGAAATACTACAGTGCCATTCACATTACAGTAAATGTCCAAACCCAGTTTCCTGACTCTTGTCATTTCAGCATTATGGAACAATCCCCTTCTCCAGCCCACCATGTCCACCCTCTCCTGCTGAAGAACAGGGCTGCATAGGACACTATGCGTGCATGTGTGGTGGTGACCTTCCTCGCTCTTTGTCTGCTCATAAACAGTGTCCCATTGAGATGCCACTGAACAGAACACAGTGTGCCCCCCTCCCCTGCAGCACCCTGCCACTTCTCAGTGGCATGCAGCAGACCTTTCACCAGCACAGCCAGTCTCTACCCTCCTCCAGAAGGAATGCTTTGCCCTAAACCCATGCCCCTCTCTCCGTACCTCTCTCCCAACTTCCCTCGCTTTACATTCCAGAGCAGCGGAAGTTGACATCTCCTGCCTCCAGGGTGTCCCACACCCACCGCCACATTATTAAGATTAGCAATCTTAAGGGAAGTCTTATATCGGTCTACTTTCGGTGGCCAGTAGGAGTGATTTCGCCATTCTTGTGGAGTCAGGAAAGCTGTATTCCTCAAAGCTGGTTTCATATTATGTAAACAAGTCAAGAAAAAAGGTCTGGTCATTAGTTTCACTCAAGCAAGCTTTCTGAGGAACAGATAAACATTATGCGGTGTTTAGTTTTGATGATGATGTTCAAAGCTCTCTTTATCACTGTGTGAAACTCAAGGTCCGTTTGCAACAAGCTGCTTCATTTTTCTTGGCTATGACGTGGAATTTGGGATGCTTATCTACAAACTAGGCATAAATGGACTCCTTAAACTCAAGGGAACTGCTTGAGTAATTTGTATCTTGTCTAAAGATAGCAGTCATATAACTCACTGTGCTGCAATGATGGTCTCTCTTCCCCGACCTCCTCGCTCTCCTCTTTCGATTCCTTCGACTCTCTTATGGATGCCACCAAAATCCTAAAGGAGGGGAAAATATGAATTATTTAGAGAACGGTTTAAATTACGACCAACACTGGCAGATTCTTTGTACGATGTCGGTCGCACCCTTCATTTTAGATGTTTGCAGTATCTTGAGCACTAGAAAAGCCACTCCTCACGACTGTTGATCCAAAAAAGCCTCTTCTATAAGAGACTAATTTGTCTGGCTCTCTATCATCATTGCTTACCACCACAACACACCCCTCAACCACAACAACATGTTACTTGGCAAATCGTCCCGAGCCTGGGAAAGCTCTGCGCTGTGAGCCGTATTTTTTTGGTCCGGAGTTCTACTGAGTCACCCGCCTAAACCCAGAGAGACGGACACACCCCAGCTGGACACCAGACGGCATCCAGAAACATTCCAGAACATCGTGGACCTTCACAAACACTCCTAAACCTCAAAGGTTTCCTCAAGAGCACGGTTCAAGCGACTTTGGTTAAAAATCTGCATGACTGGAAAATGATCCTCTTAATCTCATACAGACATTTCATTTCTGGCCATCTAAACTTACACTTGAAGAATCAAGGGCACGTTCTTCTAACGCTCAACATCTCATACATGCATTTCTGCAGTCTTAGTGGTGAATTGATACGATTTTATGGAGCAACAATGTAAAATTAGGAACATTAGGTTACATTGTTCCAACACTTTTGTCATGCCAGTTTCTAGAGGGAGAAAGAAACAGAGCCTTATACAGGAGTGACAGCCAAATCACAAAGAGCCATTCATTCAGCCTCAAACTCCACAGCTGGTTCTAATATAGAGATGGGAGGAGCACGGCGAAGAGAGAGAGACTGCCTTTAAAACACATGTAATGCTTCTCATTTGCCCACTGCTGAGAAAGTCCTATTCTTTCTGGAAAACAAAAAGAGTAAATTACCGTAACCATAAACTCTTTCTAATGCGCAGCTTCTTTTTCTGGATGTATTCGCTAGCGGTTTATGTGTACATTTGTTGTGAGTTTATGGACATTGGCATTTGTTTGGATGACATAAAATGATGTAACAAAGATATAGTGGAGCTCAAAAATGTGAGATTCAACAACAACAAAAAAAGTACAATTTGCAAATAAACAATGATTTAAGATTTAAAAATTAAATCAAGAAACACCGATATAAAATATACATTTTATGTGCCGCTTGAGTGCTGTTTTCATTCAAGAAAAAAGGGAAGAAGCCAAAAAGTCACTTTTAATTTTCAAGTTAACCTTTAGGTCAAATTTATCATTCAAAAGTTACAATTGATAAGATAAAAAAAATAAAAAATTACCAAGGCTGCATTATTTTATTTAAAAAATACGGTAAAATAGTCATTTTTAAAAAATATTACTACAATTATTGTTTTCAGTTTTCTAAAATCTTATAAAATGTCATTTATTCCTGTGATGCAAAGTTGAATTTTTGGCACCATTACCCTAGGTTTTGTCACATGATCCTTCAGAAATGATTGTAATATGCAGATTTGCTTACTTTTATCACTGTTGTGCTACATATTTTTGTGGAAACCGAGATATATTTCTTCAGGATTCTTTAATGAATAGAAAGTAAAAATAAAGAACAGCATTTATTTGATATTAAAATCTGTTGTTAAAAAGACATTGTAAATGTCTTCACTGTTACATTTGATCAATTTAATGCAATATATATATATATATATATATATCTTATTATCCCCAAACTTTTGAATGATAGCATAATTTGTAAATAAATAAATAAGAAAAATGCTAAATAAAGGGGTCTCAGACTGTATATACAGTACACCCCACTGTTTATCATGCATGTCTAGGGTTGCAAAAAGGTGGAAAATTTCCAGTAAATTTCGGAAAAATTCCAGAAGTTTTGGAAACTTTCCAGGATTTTTTTGGAATCTTCCAGGGATTTTTGACAAGTTTCCGGAAACATACTGGAAATTTTCCACCCCTTTGCAACCCTAACTGTGTCACATAGTATACTATTAAATCGATAGTAATTTTTACCATAATGACTTATGTGGATGGTGATAAATTTAGATAAGGCCAACACATGCACATAAAACAATAGCTCGAAAGATTGACACCACACTTGACTACACACTTATGTCTAGGGCCAACAATATAAATGTCTCCTTCCAACCACACATGAAGCCACACACCGTCAAGCACGTACTCAACAAAAGTTCATGACCTTTACATAGATGAGGATGATACTCTTACTCATGATAACTACATGAGGTCTACGGTCTATTGAAAACAAGTGTGCACATGTGTACGTAGATTTCAGGTTCAGAAAGAGTTACAGGAAAGGGAGCTACAGTTCCCCAAAGACCCAGAAAGTAGTCGGTCACTTCCTCCCAGTCAAGGCGAAGGGGAGAGTTCAAAATCAGGGCGGGAGAGAAAAACAGAAAAGACAGAAACAGTAACAGAACAGACAAAAAAAAAACGCAGCACATTCAGCAGGAAGGAGAGCAGAAAGACAAAGGGTGTAGGTCCAGGATGGACACCGGGAGAGGCTAAAACAGTAAAGGGTGATATTTAAATGGAAACGTCTACAGCAAAAATACTTTCGGTTGCTTTCAGACTAAGAAACCCAGCGTGAGTCATTTCAAATGCCATTGGCTTTACGTTTTGTGATCTTTGCTGACCATATGCTGTAAAAAAGCACAGCAGGGCTAGATGAAATTTAAGGAAAACTCAGCAGTTTAAAAGGCCTCATCCGTCCCGACTGTGATCGTATTTAGTACATTCCTCTAACCACTCAAGAAAAAACATAAGACAAAGCTGGAACTGTGCCGTGTCTTTGAACTACGTTTGACAACTCTTAAAGCCCAAAGTATACTTCGTTTTTGTACGCATACACGTAAAAAGTGAAGTATACTTTGGGCTTTAGGTCCCAAAAATGTTAACTATAAAGATAACTTTATTAGCATCCACACCAATGGACGATAACGTCCTGTTTATTACAAGCACATGCTGGAGATTTATTGTCTGTCAATTCAAACACTCGATCTCTTTTAACTGGAGGATTCTGATTGGCTGTCAAAGTTTTTATCATTCATCAGCTGGGGAAAAAATGGTTCTGAAAGTGATTCCAATTAAGTAATTGGCTGAAAGGAAACGTGAAGAAAAAGACAACAAAGATTAATTCATCATTTAAAAAGGTAATTATAAAAAAGGAGTAACCCCAAAACAAAAACACAAAGTCGCGTGGCGTGACTAAAGCAATAGTGTAAAACCTCCAAATGTCACAGTTACGCAAAAGAAATATATAAAACACATGAGTCGCTCTTTTTCACACATCCCAGAGCTCTTTCACGATCAGTAACAAGCTCATTTGAATCAGCGCACGTGTTAAGCCCAACAGCTCTTGGCCAGTGAATTCAAAACCACTGCAGCTAAGGGATGAACATCTGGAAGTCATGAAGAACTCCAGCAGTCCCACCCTCTCCCCAGAGTCACAGCAGTCACGGGGCTTTCATTTCATGAAGAATTTCCCCCCAAACCGCCATCAGCACTCATTTACCCATCGAGCCTGTTTAAATATACGATTACAGCAATATTCAGGTAAAACACATAAAAGCTGTATTATGACCGGATTTGTCTGTAACAAAAAGGCGCGCGCGTCCGCAAACGAACCCAGCTTACACTAAAACGAATGTTTCATTATTATTATTTTTGAATGTTTTCAACAACCAAGTGATTCCATTTCTTATGAATTAAATATAATCCCACAGGCGTGTCTCTGAACTCTCAGGATCACACATTGCGCGCGCTTCCCGTTATAGATGCTTTTCATTTTCATATTCCTATAATAATAATAATAATAATATAAATCAACCAAAAAAAAAGCGAGCATTGTTTTTCAAATAAATGCGCCACAGACTCTAGAAATAAGTCATATAGTAGCAATAAATGCGTTTTAAATGGTGAATCCCCATCGTGGTGCCGTCACTTTGAAACTAGCAGCCTTGTACAAATGAGCAGCACAAAGACTAAGCATCACAACCACGAAAGCAAATGGAAAACCGACAGCGCACACGTATACAGTATGTTTTCCCCATAAAAAATCAGAAGGTTAAGCAGAAAGCACGCGCGTATTGTCACCTACCCCTTCCAGTGCCCTCAGTCGATGAGGCCAGCAGAGCCAAAAACACCGCAGCCGAGCCGAGGCGTGCAGCGAACCCCTCCCTCCGCTCTTAAAGAGCCACTCTTCCTTTACTCCCACAATCCTCCTCAAATAATGGCCCTTCTTATTTTCACTTGCAAACAATCCTCGCAACATAAAGCAACTGGTTCAGTACCGCGAGAAACAACACACAACTAGCCTACTTAATAGTGGCTCGGGGAACATCGCGTTCATTAGTATTACACTCTGCTTTAATGCGGCTACACTGAATCGAAGAGTTGTACTTTTTTGAGATTCGAGAACGCTGGGGACACGACGTCACAATGGCCTTACGTCACCGATCTCCGATGACGAGGAGGACGCTGTAATAAAGCCCATCAGGATGATATTCATGTGGATCTGTCTCGTTACACAGCAATGCCACGTTGACCACATGGAGGTCGCTTTGAGAAGCAGACAAGCAAGCTGTGAGGAGATTAATAAGAGCTGCATGTGAAAAGAAAAGAGGGTTCAAAAACGGCTTTAAAGAAATATCTTCAACCGTCTATTTTTTTACATCTTAGTATATTTTTTGAAATATCATTTACAATATATTTTCTATACACTGTAAATACACAATGCATATATTGTAATATATAGAATATATTGTATATAATATTTTCATTCATTAAATATAAATATATACATTTAATAGTTACATTTAAGTATCAGTATACATAAACGCTTAAAGCTTTTAATATATTAGTATTTTTTTAAATGATCTTAAAATATTATTTACAACACATTTACTATATTTGAATATTGTAATATTTTTATTTATTAATATAAGATATTTAATATTTACATTTAATAGGCATATCTATATCAGCATACATAAACCATTTTTAATATACAACAGCTATACTACAGCTCTTAACATATTAATATATATTTTTAAATGACCTCAAAATATAATTTAAATATATTTGCTATACATTGTAAATACACAGAATGTATATATTGTAATATATAGAATATATTGTATATATTTTCATTTATTAATAATATAAATTTAATATGTGTGCATCTGTCAGTATACATAAACGCTTAAAGCTTTTAATATATTAATATTTTTTTAAATTATCTTAAAATATTATTTACAACACATTTACTATATTTGAATATTGTAAATGATATTATTTATTAATATAAATAACATTTAATATTTACATTTAATAGGCATGTCTATATCAGCATACATAAACAAACTGTAATATACAACAGCTATATTACAGTTTTTAATATATATTTTTAAAATTACCTCAATTTTATTTCAATATATTTACTATATAGTGAATGATCAATAATATACATAATACACATTTTATTTACGTGTAATGTGTATCTTCATCTATACATATTACTGTTAAAAACATCTTAACATTATTTACAATATATTTACTATACAGAGAATATTACTGTAAATAATAAATGATATTATTTATTAATATAAATAACATTTAATATTTACATTTAATAGGCATGTCTATATCAGCATACATAAACAAACTGTAATATACAACAGCTATATTACAGTTTTTAATATATATTTTTAAAATTACCTCAATTTTATTTCAATATATTTACTATATAGTGAATGATCAATAATATACATAATACACATTTTATTTACGTGTAATGTGTATCTTCATCTATACATATTACTGTTAAAAACATCTTAACATTATTTACAATATATTTACTATACAGAGAATATTACTGTAAATAATATACGTTCTATTAATACATTAATACACATGTTTTATGTCTGTGTTTCTACATCTATACATACACACTTAAATAAAGCTACAGTTAAACAAAATGGGAGAAGTTTCTTTTAATATAAGTATTATTTACAACACATTTACTATATTTGAATATTGTAAATGATATTATTTATTAATATAAATAACATTTAATATTTACATTTAATAGGCATGTCTATATCAGCATACATAAACAAACTGTAATATACAACAGCTATATTACAGTTTTTAATATATATTTTTAAAATTACCTCAATTTTATTTCAATATATTTACTATATAGTGAATGATCAATAATATACATAATACACATTTTATTTACGTGTAATGTGTATCTTCATCTATACATATTACTGTTAAAAACATCTTAACATTATTTACAATATATTTACTATACAGAGAATATTACTGTAAATAATATACGTTCTATTAATACATTAATACACATGTTTTATGTCTGTGTGTTTCTACATCTATACATACACACTTAAATAAAGCTACAGTTAAACAAAATGGGAGAAGTTTCTTTTAATATAAAAAGTAAAACTGAAAAGAAAAAGGACAAACATACAAATAAATAAAAAAATCATTTTGGTTATTAAAAATACAGTATTTAGACCAGCAATTTGCACAGTATAGTGTCGAGACAGGCATTAGAGGTCATACAAACATTAAAATAGTGCAAGACAGATATTACAGCAGTCCAGCTATAGTAGGTAGGCGGAAGCATTGCTAGTTCAGGACATTATCTACATTCAACAACATCTAAACCATTCTCCTTTTTCCAGTTTACATACTAGTGCATAACATGGATAGTATACATTACATTACTGTGCATTTACAATAACATGAACATTAAATTGAAAGTAGGACTGGGTGCAGCAGTGGCAGTAAAACTCAAAGCAGTCAGTGCAGAACGTCAGTGTGCTCTTTAGTTAGTGCAGTGCAGAACTTTTTCCACAGTTAATCACTATATTAATGCCTTATGCTTCCTCCGTTACCAAAAGGGACACGCATCCAAAGAACGAGCCAGGGATCCCCACTATATACATTCTACAATCTTGAAACAAATCCAGCTTTTCCTTTTTTATTTGTTTTGCTTTTTTGCAATAAATGCTTGAGCCAACAGCAGAATTAGATTTAAAAACAGTTTGCGCAAATGACGTGAAAGATTAAAGACGTCTTCTCTGAGTCAGTCAGTCTCTGGGCTCGGTCTGTCAGTGCTTAGTCTTCAAAAAGACAGAGCTTTTACAAATGCTTTAAGCCACTGAGTGCAAGCAGATAAATCAAACAGCACTACAAGGTTTTATGTGGCAACGCATTCACACACACATTGTGGCTCATATTGTTGCCCTCTTTCTCACACTCACAGAAGCGCACGAGACGGGGAAAAACAGCACCAACAAACAAAAGGAGGAAATGCAGAGGAGCATCTGAATGCTGTGCGCTGGTTAGAACCTAAAATGACCTCCGACGTTGAGCAAGAAGCTGGTTTGTCTCTACTGATGACTACTTCGACCGGTTATTCTGCTGTGCCCATGAAGATCATAATGACTCTGTTTACAGCAGATAACCTCAGAGTAAACAGACTGAAGCTGCGGGAGAGAGAGACTGGCTCAGGAGGGCTTGTGCCTGAGAGAGGAATGCTAGGGTTGAATGATGGAGCGGGAGATCATGTCTGGCTTTACATCCACCCGCGCTCGGCTCCGCCACACCTCAGCACTCCACCCGCCGAAAACTGGATCGACTGAGAGAATTCCTGTAAACATGAGCAAGAACAGATCCTCGATTCAGATAAATCCCTTCTGGTGACTTTGGGTTATGGCTCTGAGAGAAAACAAGTCACTTAACAAAAATGTGTTCATTTTATTATTATTATTTTTTTGTATTTATTTATTTATTATACCATATATTATTTTAATTGTATTATTATTATTTTCAATTATATATATATATATATAATTAATAGTATAATATAATAATAATAGTACATAATATTAGGTGAACAGACACTTACACTTCATTTAATTATTAGATTTATTATACACATTAGTAGTATTATTTACTGAATTTACTGAATACAGATGCACTTGTATATTAGAACATGCATCGTTTAAACAAAAAGACACCTTCAAAACTGCTTTTGTAATTGTATTAATTATACAATATATTCTTTTCTATTATTATTAATAATAATATTAACAACGACAGTATTAGTAGGGCCCTATGAAATCCATTAGATTTTTTTCTGGATTCTGTTTTTTTCCATTAAAAATTTTCTAGACTGTTTGAATGATTAAGTTACATTTTATTAATCAAAAAGCATGTCTAATTAATTGAAGTCATGAAACGTACACAATTTAACAGCAATTTATGAAAAGTTTGTATGTAAAAACTTACATTAAGGCCCTATGAAATATTTCTTTTCTCAAATTCAGTTTTATTTTGACCAAATTCTGTGTTTTCCATTCATTTTCTGTCTTCCATTTGAATGGTTTCATTAAATTTTAATAACCAAAAGTATCTCCAAGTAATTGATTTTATAAAAAAAATATTTATTATTATTTTATTTATTTATTTTTTCAGAAATACGGAGTTGTGTATTTACATTTTTCTGGTAAATAAATTCTGGTAAATATTCCTAAAAAATATTGTTTTAATAATAATTAAAACATTTTTTATTAAAATTTTTTATTCGAGTGTAGTAACCTACTTTTGATTTGTTTATCCAAAATTTTGCAAATTCCGTGACTTTCTGTGTTATACAGTAAGTTCCATTTTTATGACTGGATTCTGCGTTTTCTGCATGGCGGAAATCATAGGGCCCTAAGTAACAGTAATAATATTAATAATATAATATGAATAAGAATAAACAATGTTTTAATAATTAGATAATCGGAAATAATTATTTCAGTAATAATTGACTATTTTATGAATAATTTGATAATAATTTAATATTAACATTTTTAAATTAGAAATATTAATATTTATGATAAATGTATTTAATTTATTATACCCATCAATACTTATTTATTGAATGTAGACGTAACACTATATTAGTGTGTCGTGCATGTTACACTCAAAAAATGGTGACTGGCTGCTAAACAACTTGCAGGAGTCAGAATGCACATATGTTTCATGAGTTTGATGGGTTTTGTTTACAAGTAACCAGGCTGCTATGGCCTGCTCTGTTGTTGTGGTATGATTGCTTTCAGATAAACTGTGTGATGTTACCTCTGTGTTAGTGTGGTTGGCAGAGGCAGTGGTCTGTAGAGTTGAGGGATTTTCCGGTTGATAAGAGGAAACAGAGCTTCTCTCAGTTTAGTGTAGTTCCGCTCCAGCTCTCGATGGTACTCCTTCTGATCTGGACCGATCAGAGACTTGTTCTTCCTCAGAGCATCCTCACACCTGAGTCAAGAACACTGCAG